GGCCTACCTTCTCCCCTACTGATTGTCTAGGGATGCGGTAATCACATTCTCTTTGAAGAACCTTCCAGAAGGTTTTGGAAGAAGAGTCAAAATCAGAGTGCTGAATTTTTTATCAATATTTGGAGGTGGGCTGCCTTGTCTCACTAGAGATAAGCAGTAAACTTCAGGGCAACACTTGAGGTGTTAATTTAGTGAGCCTTTACTTATGCTCAATGTGGTTATATATGTGTAAATAATGCAGATTCTGCAAAAAAAAAATGCCATAAACTTCCAGTGACCTCAATGTGAGGCACCAAACTATGGGTTAAACATAGGTGTACCTGGAGTTCTGGAGTGTAGGATCATAATAATTAACAACAGCAGCAACCTAGATTAACCTTTCACAACTTGGTGTCCTATTACCCTACATGTTTTAGGATCATGGTAGCCATTGCTGAAGGGAGCCGCCATTCAACACATCTGGAGGATGTTATGTTAGGAGGGACTGCTCTAAATCATCTTAAATCCTACGGTAATCTTTGCCTGCTTCTTGCAATCAAACATATTCCATGATTATTTTTACTTCACAGTTGGGTAAGGCTGGAATTAAGTGCATTTTTGAAAGAATGAAAAGAGTTAAAATATTTTACATGTAGACAGCTGCAGGAAAATTGGTTTTGAAAAAAGAAAAAGAAAGACTATTTTGGCATAATTAGTGGTTGTCAAGTTTTAATTTGCTTGAATTAGCCACACAAAAATAGGTGGTGTTATATATTTCTACTTGCAGCTGTGCAGGATTGCTGACGAACTGCATTTCTGCCGTTCATCAAAACTATTAATATCCACCAAAAATCTCATTCATTCGCTTTTATAATGAATATGAGATAGGACTATAAAGTTTCATTAGTGCTGTAAAAGCTAGGAATATTAAAATTTTCTTTGAGTCTACTGTTCACAGTCACTAGCAAGATAGCTCCAGCTAATGCTGTGGACAACGACCCAGAGCAAATCCCAGTTTAAAAAGCTGTAACTTTCAGTATCTTCCGCTTTCTGACGAGGGAGTGGAAGTGAAAGGAATGGAAATCCACCATAATTTCCTGCCCTCAATTGCTGTTCAGTACTACTGCCAAGTTAGCTTTAGATATCCTTGTGTGTGAACCCTCCTACCAGCTTGAATTGGGGAAAGGGTAAGAGAGCAACCATGTACACAAAACAGCACCAGCATCCAGTGTGTATCTGTAGCTTCTCGTCTACCTGGGACCCAGATTAACCTATGTTCTAGAAGCCAACACTGGCCTCCTGGGGTTCCTGATATGTCTATGCCCCTTCCCCTGGCCTCATTTCCATTCTTCCAACCACCAATTTTTTGTTGGTTTCCTAGCTCTTGCATCGTTTTCCTCCAATGTATCTGCTAAGGCTTTGTTCCTAGCAGTAGGAGAATTATTTTCATTTATGTATTATATTTATATCCCATCCATTTTCTTCTTTAAAGTACCTAAGGCGGCTTATATGATCCTCTTTCTCCTTCTCTCCATTTCATCCTCACAACAGCAACCCTGTGAAGCAGGTTAGGCTGAGAGTGAGTGACTGGCCCAAAGTCACCCAAGGGGCTTCATGCTTGCCTGGGGGAATGGAACCTGGAACTCTCAAATCCCAGTCCACCCACTTTAACCTCTATGTCACACTGGTCTTTTTGGCCACACCCCTTTTGCTCCCAGTTCCCCTCATCCCTGGACTATACCCCACTCTCCTTAGGATATCTCCGAAATTTAGCTCAACCTTCAGGCAGAAATAGGTGCTGCTCTCCTAGCCTAGCTGGTGATGTTAAGTGTCCTGTTACAAGTAGTTATGTTTAAAAATGACAATGGAGAAACTACATACCCTGCTAGTAGCTCTGTGTGTGTGCATGTCCGTGTGTGTGTGTGTGTGTGCGCGCATGCATATGCATGTGGCCTTTCGCACTAAAAAGGTTGTGCACCCTTGAGGTCAGCCTTTCATATGTGAGCGCCTGTTGCTGCACTTATTACCTGAAAATGGTAGTAATTTGTTGTAACATTAACACTTCCTCATAGCCTTCCTGAACTTGGAGGGGAGAGGCAATTCCCAGCTTTCCTGACCATTGGCCATATTGACTGAAGCTAATGGAAGCAGAAGCCAGGTCACAAAGGCTGTTCAAGCCTGTAACATTTTCATGGGATTTGCAATCCTTTGTTGTACCTTATCTCTTCTCTTGCTACCTAAGAAATTCACACAAATACCAGGGGAAATTGACCTGTTAACTGCCTAAATTGGAAGGAAATGTGCAATACAAAAATAAGCTGCTAAAAATACATGCTCCTTTTATCTTTTTTGCTTATATCACAAGTGCCATTATGATAAGACATAATAATTTAGACAGCACTATGGTTTGTATGATAGGCACCATTCCCTTTCCCTCTCTCTGTGTGCACGCACTGGCACAGTGCACTTAATGCACTCTCCTCTGTAACACTTGAAAACGAAAATGCGTAGGAAATTAAGCCTAGGAAAATTCAGTCTGCATACAGTAAATAGTTAAGTGACACACACCACTCTGCCCCAACTCCTACACATTTTTTCTGTCAATATATGCAGTTATTCAATACCAAAAATAGCCAAATAAATAAACAGATGTTTGGGCATGCAAAGCAGGGTTTTGTTTGTTTGTTTTTTGTTTGTTTGTTTTTTTTCATTTATGGTCCATTTCCATTCATCCACTTGGGTTTTCTCCTGGTCTTTGGAAAACATTCTTCTCTGGCTGCTAGGCAACCTGAGTGTACAATACTGCTCCCGCCATCTGTTCCGACTTGTGCTAGCTTACCTTTTTGTTTGCTTTTTGTTCATAGGTTTGGTGTTGTTTAAATGAGAAAACTGTGCATGAGCACAACAGCTTTCCCTTTTTTAATCATTAATTAATATTTTGGGGAGTTCAGAACGGAGTGCCATGGAAGATGCTTCATGGGAGAAAAAGGAAGGTTATAAATTAGTTTCTCCAAGTGCAATTCTGTGTTTGTCTACTCAGAAGTAAGTCCTATCAAATTCCATGGGAGTTCTTCTCAGATACGTAAGTGGATATAGGACTTCAGCCTTAAATATATATGCTAAGATCCAAAAAACTGCTTAGATTCACACAAGGTTTTGTACTAGTCTACATAATTTCTGATGTATGCTTCTTTGTACAACTGAAGAATAAGGAAACACACATTTCTTTGGAGACCGCCCCCAAAATTATTTTAATATAGTTATTTATTTAAACACTTGTATCCACCCTTCCACACTGAATGCAGGCAGGTCACAGTAAAAATACTGCTAAGATATGAGATAATAAATTCATAACAAAAATAAACATTGGAAAAGCAGCAGTAAAAGCATGAACATTCCCTCTGCTCCAAAAGCAGTTTTAGAGTTCTGTTTAACAGTGCACTCCTAGCCATGTTTACTCAGAAGTAAATCCTACCATGTTCAACAGGGCTTACTTCCAGGTAAATGTGTATAGGATTTATAGCCTCAGGCTTGGCCATGTTGGCTGGGGAAGATGGGGGTTTGTAGTCCAACAGCTCTGGAGAGCAGGAGGTTGAATAAGGTTGGCCTAAAAGGAAATGTCACATTTATATGAAGTCCAACTCTCTTAACCAGGTAGAAGATAAAATGGAGTAGAAAGAAAAGCAAAACAAAAAAATCTTGCGTGAGGATTATAAGTGTGGTTTTTCAACTGCTTTTTAAAAAAAAACAGTTTCATTAATTTCAAATAGGTTCCATATATTTATCCCAAATGCAATCTATATAGATGATTACAGTTTTAGGGGGGAAATGGAGTGATGTGCCCAATGGGTTACACCTGCACAGAGCAGTAATACCTGGTGTCTTTTGGAGCTGTTTTTATATTGAAAAGAATGAACATATTTTGAAAAGAGCCTCATAATGACTGGATTAAGGCCTTTGAGTCATGTTTCCTGATTATATGTATTCATTCATTTCATTATACAAAGGTGCATACCAATTTTCACAAAGGTTTCATGCAGTATCATTACCACTAAAAATTATAATAAAATACAACAAAATGATACAATAACACATCATTATTAATTAGCAATAAAGTTATATACTTTTCTGCATACTGCAGATGCTGACTGACTGGGTCACAGCTTGGGAAAAGCCTTTATGATCAGATGGACCTTAAACTGGCTCTAAACTTTGGATGCCCATCAAATAGCAATTGTTAATGCATTCCCTGGGGTGGATGATGGGGGCTAAAGGAAGCTTAAGCAACATGTGGCACCACCAGAATGAGTCTTTTTGAAGACTGCAGAGAACTGGCAGGAACATAAAGGGTGAAATGATCCCTAAAATAACCTGGTCCCAAAAGGTTTGGGGCTTTATTTGTTAACATCACCCTAAATTAGGCCTAGTGGCTTATTGGCAGCCAGTGCAGTTCTTTTAGCAATGATGCAATTGCAAGTGTTAGAAAAATTGAATATATTTTCAAATGAGTTTGGAGTTCCATGAATCTGCACATTAGTGCAAGCACAATGAATGCTCAAACACTCATAAATAAAACCTAATGTTGTCAATGGCTAGGCAACAGAAAGAAGGATGCCTGACAATCTGCAAAACACAGTAAAAACAGATTAAACCTCTCTATATATGGCTAGCATAACATACTGTTCAAAAGAAGTCTCTGTTAGCCACCTCACTGCTGCATCCCACACCAGCTGCAGCTTCTGAACCTATAGATCTGTGAAAGGAATTTGACACCTGAAGAGATAAAATAAACTCTTTGATAGCCCCTAAAGGGTAGTAAGGACAGATTCAGACACAGACTCTAAAAAGAACTCAAAACCCAGTTTATTGTATAAAGCCTTTGTTTTAAGAGGTTAAAATACATTAATCTTCTGCTGAAACAAAGTACAAACAAAAACCACTGTAAACTATAAGCATGCAGTGATCTGGGATTAATCCACTTAATGATAAGATAAATGATTCAGGAGTGATTGTGTACTTACCCAGATCTGTAGTTTTACCCTCTTGTCATTCCTGTAAACAGTCTTCACTTTGAAATCAATTCCCACTGTACTGACAAAGGCTGGAGTGAAAGTGTTGTCGGCATATCTAAAGAGGAAGGATGTCTTGCCCACGCTGCTGTTGCCAATAATCAGGAGTTTGAACATATAATCAAAGTTCTGGTCAGAAGCATCCTTGTGTCCAAATCTGGTATCTGTTACAGAAGCCATCTAAGAAAACAACAGCACCCATTTTTTTCTCTCTCTCTCTTCTCTGATTATTTTATTCAAGGACAGAACATTTTTATTGTGATCCCCTTACTCATGTTCCACCATCCCAATTTAGTGCTACCTAACAAGTGACTAACAGTATCACTACTAAACAACAGCAACAAAAGCACCTGTGTTCTCCATTAAAAAAATAAAAAACAATAGAGTACAATAGTTTTACTAGGCTAAGTCAAAGATCACAAAAAGTACAAGCTTTTGAGATATGCAGATTCATCAGACAAGATTTTACAAAATGTTTGTTTGGGGTCTTTTCAGTCACTGGCTTTTTCAGGATCTTAAGAGGAGGTTTTGCTGACATTCAAATTGGTTCTGCCAGGTGCAGTGACAATATCAGTTTGAGGGCCCTAATGACCACTAGAAGCAAGAAAGGAGCGGACGAAAACCAGGTGTTAGCTTTCTGTGCTTTCCTGAGTAAACCAGACAAGGTTTCTTCACTGGTGAAGTAGATACCCACACTGACAATATTGTCTCACACTTCCACTCCAGGAGTCATACATATAACCAGATATAAGGATCCAGAAAGAAGAAATATGTGCTTTTTCATAAATGCCTGACATAATTCAAAGATCTGTTCATAGAAAATGCTTCCGTGCACATAGCACCTTTACTGGAGAGGGATGTATTTGGACAAGACATACTACTAATTTCTGTTTAGTTTTATAAATAAAATACTTGGGTAGATAATTGTGTAGATCATGTTTAAAGCAAACCTGAAATCAATGCAACTTAGACCAATTTAATTCCCTTTGATTGCAATATGTCCACTCTAAGCATGACTTATACTGGATCTAAGGCCAAGTCTATTCCTAATATTAAATCTCACTATTAAATACAATTCCAGTACAGGTATATCATGGTGGCTTTGAAACAGAGTTCACTCAGAGGGTTGTAAGCACCCACTGCAGCATGCGGGGTGCAGCAGAGGGTGTCTCTACTGCACTACACCTCCCTCTTTGCATTTTGGTAGGATGTATGTGTTCAGGAATCTAGCTGAGATGCTTCAAACAAGGAGCGAAGGAAGATGGAATGCCTCATGTCCTGGTGGCCCTAGTCTCCTTCTCCCCCTGCCTCTGGAAACAACCCGTTTCCCCCTTTGCAAAGGTGCAGCTGGTGAAGTTGTTCCCTGACAGCTTGGATGAGTCTGCTGCAGCTCCAGTTCCCAGCTCCAAGGCTGGAACATGGTCTTTGACTTCATATCTAGAATCTGAATGATCTTATGCTCACCCCCAAAATGATGTCAGGGACCCGCAGGATTATTCTCACAAGGATTATTAATCCTGCCTACATTAGGTGCTAGTATGGAAATGAACGTGCTGGGTGTCATTGTTGGAATTTAATAATGGGTAACATTTCACAAAGTAAAAGAAAAATACATCCAACTTTGTGGCAAGAAAAGATGGGGCTACCTGGCTTCCAGATTGCCTTAATTTCTGTAGTGTTTTACGGAACACGAGAAATGTAACTTGTAAGACCCTGTGAGAAGATAGATTCTGTACATGCTTTATCATTCTAGTACCACAGAATGGGTTTCTTACATCTGGAAAAAAAATCCAAAACAAATGACTAGCCTTGTTCATAATAAAAGAAGAAAGGATTCCAAATAAAATTTTGATAGTGGAAGTACTAAATGCAATAAAACTGAGTTATGGTAGACTAATTTGAGAAACCTTCATGTGAGCAAGGAATATCTTCACCATCAAAAGGAGTGCTGCCAATTACCCAGTCAATTTAAATGTAGCGCTTATCCTTGATTTGCTCCTTGTACATTTCCCCACTGGGAGATTCACTAGTTCTTGGCAATATAGTGGTTCCCCATTTACCATGTCAATTTCTCTCTAAGTGGGCATTGCAAGGTTGATTGCTTGTTTAGTTCTCCCTGAGGAAAAACTGCTGTGCTTCTTAGCAATTTAATAACAAGTTCAAAATCCATGAGAGTGGTACAGAGTAGCTTATAAGCATATCTGTCCTGAACTCTATGAGGAAAGGCAGCAAAGGAAGGAAAGGAAAGGTACACGTTTTAAATAAATAAATAAATAAAATCCATGTGAACAAACAGCAGTTTATGTGGTAAAGCTACTAATTGCCCTCACACATTCTCAAGCCCATAAATATCTCTTGCATCCTCAATGTGCTAAGACAACCTCAGAATGCATGGAGATAAACTGTGAGGCTGATATCTAATACTGGAACTACTTCTGTCACTGGAACTGAGAGAGGGGGTGATTCTTCCCCATCAGAGCAGATTTTCAAAAGGGGGAGAGAGGGTGTATATTCCACTCACATAATGTCGGATTCCACCCCTAAAAATGGGAATCCCTAATCCTGTGTATTCCCTGGTCCCTAAACTCAGTTGCAGCATCTCTGCCAAAAAATGTGCAGTCTCCATGCAACACTGGCCAAATAGTTATGTTATTAGCTGCATATATCTTTGAATACGTATAACTTCTTCCATTGTTTAGAGAGAAGTTAGTGTCAGACAACCTAGTGTGAATCAGTACTACTGCCATTTGTTCAGCATTGACTGAGTGCTAGCCAAAGCCATGCAATGCCCATGGCCTTTGCCACTACATTGCTTCTGAAACTTTCCAGCTTCCGGATTAACGTTGCTCATCAACAGTGCATTCCTGTGGCATCCAGCAACCTAGACTACTCTTGTGGAGCTGGCAGGCATTTTTGTTTTCTTTTGGTTGTCACTCCTCCCTGGGTGTGTTCAAAGCCATCAAGCCACCAAGTTATTCATCCTAGGAGTGCAGAAGGTACACAGGTACATTGAAGTTATTGCCCCTGCTCTAGCATTAAACTTCTTCCTCTTTCTTTCCATGCTGGGAGAGGTACAATGTTCCCAATATAGAGAGGATGCTGCAGGTGCCACTGGGTGTCCCCAGTGTTGAGAGTGCCTGGCTTTGTGTGGCCACTGGTGTTGCAGATGTTGTGAGTTGCATGAAGTCATTCCACTGGGAAGTAGCTGCACTTCCTCATGTTGGCAGAGTCCCTTGTTTCATGCAGTACCCAGCACCCCTGGAAACACCACATGCCGTGCACATCTACACTACTAGCGCTGAGAAGAACAGCTGCCTCGAAGAGAAGGCCATAAGGAAAGCCATGCTGGATGAGAATAAAGGTCCATCCAGGCCAGCTCCCAGTACACATGGTGGCAGACCAGCTGACCACAGGATCACTCAGTCAGGATGCGCAAGTCCTCCACCCACCCAAGCTCCTCAGCAACTGCTACATGCAGGCATGCCACCTGCAGCAAGCAGGCTAGTACCCACTGATAACCTCCTCCCCCATGGATCTGCCCCATCCCCTTTTGAAGCCATCTAAATTGGTGACCATCACTACTTCCCGTGGAAGCAAATTCCATGGTTGAACTATATGTTGTGTGAAGAAGTCCTTTCTTTTATCTGTCCCAAACCTCCCTCCAGTCTGCTTCATGGGATGACCCTGGGTTCAAGGAAGAAAAATGTCTCCCTCTTCACTTTCTTCACACCATGCATTATTTGAAACATCTCTGTCATGTCTCCTCTTTCTTGCCTTTTTTCTAAGCTAAGCAGGCCCAGTTGATGCAGCCACTGCTCATACAGGGGTTGATTCAGCCCCTTGATCTTTTTGGTTGCCCTGCTCCGCATGTCTTCCAACTGAGACTCAGTGCCCTTTTTCAGGTAAGGGGCAGAACTGAAAAAATATTCTAAGTGTGGTTGCACCAAAGATTTGTATAAAGGGAGTACAATCTTGGCAGTTCTATTTTCTATTCTGTTCCTAATTATGCCTAGTATGGAGTTTGCCTATTTATTTATTTAAAATATTTCTATGCCGCCCCCATCGCAACAAAGCCTCGGGGCGGCTTACAGTAAGAACCAAATTATACAATAAAAATATTAAAACCCGGTGCATCTCGGCTTAATTTTTCTTTTTAAATCCTACAAATAACCAATAAATTAACACTTAAAATAAGTTTTAAATAAAAAGGTCTTAGCCTGGCGCTGAAAAACAAATAACGACGGTGCCAGGCGGACCTTTTTCACACTAGCTGTGCACTGGGCCGACATTTTCATTGACCTGTGCAGCACTACCCCAAAATTCCTTTCTTGCTCTGTCACTGCCAGCTCAGATCCCATCTGCCCATACCTGAACTTGAGATATTTTGTCCCAACATGCATTGCTTTACACTTGCTTACCCTGAACTGCATTTGCCATATTGATGCCCATTCTCCCAGCCTGGAGAGATCCCTTTGAGGCGCCTCACAATCCTGTTTGCTTTTAAATAGTGTGGTGACATCAGCAAACTTGACCATTTCACTGCTTACTCCAGGAGGCTTTGCAAGATGGATTAAGGAATCCTGTGGGCTAGATAAGGTCCACAGACAAGGAGTTGTGCACTCCTGCTTTATGCAAAGGGAAATATCAGAGGAAGCTGCTTTGAATCAGGTCACACAAATTGCCTTTCTAGGACAGGTACTGTCTACTCTGGCTCACAAACTCTCAGGCATAGGAGTCCCAATCTTTTTGAACATGTGGGATGCTTTAACTTGGAGTCTGAGCAGGGGGGTGGACACAATGGCCTTCTGTCCCCTTTCAGCTCTACTATTCTATGATAGTGGGCATAATTTGGAAACTGAGAAATTGTTGTGGGCACCACCACAAAATGCCTAATCAGTGGATCACTGCCAAGGTGTCTACCCGTCTCATCTTAGATCTTAGGTCACATCTTATTCAGTGAAAACTTTTGTTGTATATCTATTGGACATGCAGTACTTTTTAAATAAATTATTGTATAATTCACTGAATTGTCAGAGGTGAAATATGGCCAATGTGTCCTTCAAATGTATGTTTTGATACCATCCAGTAGTTGTTCTTGTACTGAAAGGATCTTTAATATTCACTGAGGTACATGTTCATTTAAATTATGTACCTGCTTCATGGAAATTTACAAATGGAAG